TAAATATACGCGACAGTGTGAAACAGGTTTTATATATAGAGAAAAAATGCAAAAGTTCCTTCCACAGTAGTGGTTCATTATGTCAAAGGCATGGTATTTTACAATCGCTGTCGATTTGCTCAACTTGCGAGTTTGGTATTGGAACTGCACTACATGCGTAACATTCTGATAATAATTACGAGATCGATACGAAAATTTATGACACCCACTTAAGTGCTTTTTTTGGTACAGCATCTGCTGAAAGAAAGCAAAGCCAAGAATCTAAAGAGAATTTTTCTGAGTAGGTATTTCTGAGCCCTGAAGAACTTCTAATAAACAGCATTGAATTCTTTGAAAATTGGCATTTAATCGTTCTGGTTACATCTTTTTGTATTTGAAAGGCGTAGAAATCTTCAGAATACTAAAAAGATATTTATAATTCTACACCAAGTTTTTATCAATTGGTAGATCGAATGTTTAACATAAATTTAAGTATGAGTATAAGAAACCAGGAACTTACAATTAATTAAAAGTTGTCTACTATTTAAATGACAAATTAATAAAATTAAGACTCTTATAAAGTTGCTCCACACAGTTTAAAATTATCAAAATATGTCATTATTAAAGAAATTACAAATAATTATCACCTCAACTGACATGTTTCGAGCAATGAGACCATTTTCAAGAGTACACTACTATGAAAAGTTTATCAGTTTGTACAGGCTTACAATGAAACTTCCAAAGCACCTATGTAAGTCAAATTTATAATTAGTAAATTAATATTAAGGCAGCATTTTCAAGTTGGAATGGAATTGTTAAGTTAGCTTTTCTTTACGACTGTTATGATGTATTTAGTAGATATAAGAATACGTGCGTGTGCAGTAGATTATATCGAGTATTCTAGAAGTAACCAGTTACCTTATAATTTCTACTGACTGATGGCAAATTTATTACGTCAAGTTTCAAGAAAGCAAAAACTAGCGAAAGAATGCTTAAATTGCAATTGTACATGCGCAATAAATAACAGAACTGCGACTATAAGTTACTCTTTTGAGTTTAGTTTGTAAAAGTTTGCAGGAGGTAGGCAGTATGTCATACGACCAGTGTTTTTCAAAAACTAATAAAAAATACATTTATTATACTTGAAAGAAATATGTGCGCGTAAAAGGTGGATTAACTATTATACTTTATTAAACAAGTCGAGTTTACTAATAGAAGCTTTTTGAATTGATTAATTCATTTATTCAAAGCTCAAATCGTAATGTTTAATTAATCTTGAAGTATTGGGATCCGTCAAATGGGCATACACCATCTGGTGGCAAAATTTATAATTCGAATGAGGGAAAAATTTACATAGGAACTGTGCACGCAAATTGTTAAATTGTTTATTAAAATAAAACACGTTAAAAAAGTAAAACTTTTTTTGATGATGGAGTCGACGAAGTTTTCTTCTTCATTTTATCGTAATTTAAAAACTTGGAAATTGCACGGTACACTATAGGAACTACGATAAATTTTCCCTAATCGGCGCCATGTTTTTAGGCTCCTCCCATTTGACGGATCCCAATAATACTATAAACGCATCACATTCGTGTTGTTTTTCTAAAGGATAATTATTAAAAATCAAAATAAATATTTTACTTACCATTTTCTATTTTCAGAAAATGTTGAAATCGACATTTAAACTAGGATCGACCTTTGATCTCTAGTCGTTGAAGAAACCATTTCCTGGAAAAACAAAAAAGGTATTAGGAAATACGTTCAGCAACCGAGTCATCCAAACTATCAGATTAACAGGACGAATATTTGTTGAAAATTGTCGAATTGTGCAATACATCGAGCAAATTGAAAAATCAAGTGTAATGTTTATGCTATGTTTACAGTATATTAAAAAAAAACTTTAATTTGGTATTACTTTCCATTACAATCACATATGCGTTAGTCAGAAAAGGCTGCAAAATTCCCCATACTTTAGAACACTTACTTTGCAAATGAAAGCCAAAAGGGAAGTAAAAAAGCATGTAGTTGTCTGCTGATTTTTGTTTAAAACATTTCCAGTAAAACATAAGCATTTCCTATAAAATCATACTCGTTTTGTTTATTGCAATACGATCAAATATTATTGCAATAATGTACAAACGCATTTAGTGCCAGCGTTTGTTAAAAAAGAAAAACTACCAACCACATTTTCAGTTTTCACAAACTGATGCAGAAGTCAATATTTGTTTGGTTTTAGTGGACACTGTTACGATATAATTATGTGCTATTAACAGGTTTACCAACCAACACAATTTGTTTGAATTTGATATTACGTAACTACTTAAACATATATCGGGTTAAATAGATACAAGGCGTTTTTGTATGACGTCTGACAACATCGGCAAACCTTTTGATAACATTTAATGTCAAGAAAATGCTTTAAATTTTCAATTACCATTGCTACCAATAATAAAATGGACAAACAAACAACACCACACGGCGGCGCACATTTAACGTTAAATCCTAGCAGGCGTTTTAAATCACTTACCACTAAATTTATATATGACTTTATAGGTAACTTCTCCCTTGCAATTCAAGCGGATTTTATTTATGACTTTAGCTATTCAAACGACAATATTATTAAATAGCTGTCGCGGATTGACTTTTTTTTTACATTTTTATTCGTGTGTATGTCCGTCTATAAACTACGCATTCGAAAAACGTTATTGTGCGTTTCGATGCCACTCCACTGCAGGGGAAGTTGCAAATGAAAAACAACAAACAAAAAAATCGGTGATTAAACGCGGCTGGAGCATTTCGTAATTCCGTAAATGGTTATCTACTTAACAAATGACCGCCTTCTTCTATAAACGCGTTTCGCTTTTTGCTTGGTAGGTGCTTATAATGTACAAACTCCGCCGCGTTTAAAAATGTCATAAATCTTAGCGTACAGCCACAAAAAATTTCAGAAGAATTTCGAACTTTTTGTTGTATTTATAGCCACCTTCGTGTGTATGTACTCATCTTGCAAGTGCCGCAATTAACATATGTACAATCACTGTCACAAATATCTCGTAATGACGCATCTACCATAGTTATTACAATAGACTCGTATGCATTTAATAATATATCGTCTCGTACGGGAATTCTCATCAAACGATTTCCTATCTGATCAAATATCTGACAGGTACTCCTACGTGATAAAATCGGAAACCTTATCGTCATCTTTCAAACATTAACTATAAAAGTATGCAATTTATAATTTCTTAAATTTAAATTACTTAGTTGTTTTATATCACACTAGCTGAACCCGTCCAAATTTTGATGGAGGTATTCCAATGACATTTTCATGATAAATGTATATGCAACCAACTATACACATATTTAATTCTGTTCACCTTTTTCCAACTGTTTATTTCCAACGTTAAAATCGGTAATTTTTAATTGAAGATTATGATTAAAAGAAAACATCGAAAAAAGGTTTTTTGATTTAATTAAACGTTTTAGTAGTCCAAAATTTTATTTTATAAGAAGAGAAGACAGGACTCAACCGGTGAGATTATAATTAAGGTTTTAATGACCATTTCTTACAGTGAATGTGCTGTCTGTATTTTTCCAGTATAATAATCCGTTATAATAACGAAAAATTATACACTTATTGATACATTAATGTTTTTTGAAGTTTGCCCTCAATAAATAGGTAGCATATATAAAGAAACGTAGTCTTAGTGAAATGTTTTGTAGATAATTTATTATTGAAAAGGAAACTCTTGCATATGGGAGTATAATAATCCAATAACGATTTGTTAGAAAATTATATGTTGCTGTTGTTTTTACATCACAATGCTGTAATTATTGTAATAATCTACTCAAGCTTACAATTCTTTTAATAATTATTGATTATTTTGCTTATATTTAAGTCAATTTAACAGTAGCAATTTGCATTCGTTTGATTGTCTTTGATGTGAAGTTATAAAGCATGAAGATGAGAAACATTAAACTTTTATTATTAACAATCAGTGCAATATTTAATACAGGATATTTGTGCAAGATTGATGAAGTCGAATTGATAAAGGATTTAATTCAAATGACAAAATCACCAACTGTTGTAGTAGCATTACTCAATTGGAATCGAGGTATATACCATCATCATCATCGTAAGGTCGTCAGTCCCACTCTTTCCTATCCTGAGCTAATTTTCGCGTTTCTTTAAGACTAGAACAACCCACATCCTTAACTATTTGCGAATAGTAATCTAATCTAGGTCTACCTTTTCCCCTCCTAACTCCTGTTTCTGTCTCTAATATGTCTCTGACTAGACCTTCATGCCTAAGTTCTCCTCTTCTTTCTAATACCTCTTCATTTCTAACCTTTTCTACCCACGTTATCCTCATCATTCGCCTAAAACACTACATTTCGAAGGCTTCTAACCTTTTCTTTTCCGCCGCGCCCACTTTCCTTGTTTACTCTGCGCTATCCTCTGCTTCATATCCTTACTACTCCTTCCGTCCTGACTTATCTGACTTCTTAGATATCTAGGAATTATTTGCAGATGAATTATTCAACTTTAGTAAAGCAATAAATAACATTAATAAGCAATATACAATCGTCAATTCTATTGAGTCCACATTGAATTCGAGAAACAGTCAGTATCAACTTTACGTTATCGATTTATCTGCTTCTGAGTTAAAAGAACTTGCGACTAAGGTAAAAAATATCTACCTTTTATTTCTATCTAATTATAAATCTATATCATTACTGAATTAATATTCACGTATTGCTGTAATTTTCTCACATATATCTGTTTTAGACTAGTGATCCCCAACTTTTCGGTGTGTACCATAAGTGGCTTATCCTCAACATAAATTCCGAAAAATTGAATGTATTGTCACAACTTGCTATATTCCGCGGTAGTAAGGTCTACACGTCGGAAAAACTAGAAAATAGCACAAGCAATTCTTATAAGATCAGTGCAATATACAGGACTCGAAACAGTAGCGAATTTAAGAAAGATAATATAGCAGTTTGGTCTTCAACTAACGGTTTCCATTATTTTAACGAACTGGTTATTACCAGGAACAGGTCAAACTTAATGGAGGAGGTTATTACAATTGGGGGAGTCATTTTTGACCCTGATACCCTTGAACATATGTGGGATTTTCGGTAACTATTAAAAAGAATTCGTAAACACATACATATAAAAGTTTAATCACCTAACTTGGATTGAAGCAAATGTAGATCAAGGACAGTTACAGATAGATAGATCATTAATAATTTTATTTCACTTTGAGTTTTTATCTTTTCACAGCGATCGATTTTTATTAGTGTTGCTGTTAACTTACCTATGATTTAAATGAAATCGATAATAATGAATAATAAAAGGCAACACAAGAAACTCACTTGTTCCTTTCTTTTTGTTTTTATGGCAGAAATACCCATTTAGATGTTCTAACTAAAAGTAGCTACATCATAGCCCATGAAATTACAAGAGTTATGAATGCATCGATAGCCTATCGTATGCATTATGCGTGGGATTATCACGGAAACAGAAGTGAAATTGATCCACTCATGCAAGATTTTATTTCCGGTTTGACAGACATCTCAGGTAAATTGTTTAAAAATTAGAATAAACTTTTTACTATGCCAGTGAGACAACACTACAATCTACTACGACTGTTTAAAAAATCAACTATAATTTATATCTATATGCATGGAAAAGCGTTTAAATTTTCCTTTCGTTTATCCCAAGTTAGACCGACAGCTTGAAGAGTATTTTCAGTTATCCAATTTTCCGATCTTTTTGTTCCTTAGTTTAAAACTAGAGGTTGATAAAAACGGTCGATTTTTGCGGTCAAATATATTGGATCACCTTGAAATTTCAGGCTCAGTTCTTAGATCATTCTCCCACGTATTGAAATTTGAAATTTTCATATTTTCAATCCTTTATAGGTACAGTAATAGCAGGTGACACAACACGCCTGCACATAGTGGAGTATATAGGATCTACAACTCCTGCTAGTGTGGCTTTTCTTTTGAAGGAACCGCCATTATCAACGGTGTACAATTTATATACTTTAACTTTCGGTACGGATGTATGGATTGCCTGTGGACTTCTCATATTATTGGCATTTATACCTCTCCAAATGATTTTCGGATGGGAATGGGTTTTGACGCATCCTGCAGACACACACGATAATCGATGCCAGATGATAACAAGATCTAACCTTTCCGACACGACATTGTTTCAAGTCGAGATGATATGTCAACAGGGCACAAACGTTGTTCCAAAAAGTATATCCGGAAGGATCTTGGTTCTTATTTTGCTTATAGCTTTTATGTTCTTGTACACTTCTTTTTCCGGTAATATTGTGGCATTATTACAGTCCACTTCGGATTCCATTCAGACACTGGATGATCTACTTACCAGTAGAATTAAACTTGGAGCAGAAAATTTAGCGTATGCAAAACATTACTTTTCAGTAAGTGGAAATTCGCATAAGAACAATTGAGTACATAAATAAAGAGTTGAATAAAAAAAGTATCCGGTACAAAGGTACCGGTACAATAGTACCGGCAAAAAAGGTGTCCGGCACAAAAGTACCGGTACAATAGTACCGGCAAAAAAGGTGTCCGGCACAAAAGTACCGGTACAATAGTACCGGCAAAAAAGGTGTCCGGCACAAAAGTACCGGTACAATAGTACCGGCAAAAAAGGTGTCCGGCACAAAAGTACCGGTACAATAGTACCGGCAAAAAAAAGGTGTCCGGCACAAAAGTACCGGTGCAATAGTACCGGTAAAAGGTGCCCGGCACAAATGTACCCGGTACAAAAATACCTACCGGTACAAAATTACCGATTTCGTTAAGTGGATCCAGTCGATCTACAGTTTCTATACACCTACTTTGTACCGGGTTCAGAGTGTCTACCTGCCTTCCAATATTGTTATTTATTATACTCGTTTACATTATTTCCTGCGGAACCAAACGCTACCGATATGGATATGAAGTACATAGTAAGATTAGATAGAAAGGTACTTTGTACCGGGTATATTTTTAAGTAACTATAATGTATTTACCGCTACATGTTCGTTGGCGAGACTGCACGCAGCAGTCAATTCTTAGCAGTCATGAACGTGTACTACATTTATTGGCGGCTACCCGGTATATTCGGATTTCGACGAGTACCGGGTACTTATAATACTGTCATCTATATTCCGAGGGATTAAAACTGCACGATTTTTGACTGCCTTGAACGGGTATATTTTCTGAAATTTTAGGTGGAAGAAGAACCTCTTCGCAAAAAGATATACAATACCAAACTTGCTCCGAAAGGCCAGCAAAATAATTTTATATCCATGAAAAAGGGAATTGAGAAAGTTAGAACTGAATTTTACGCGTTTCATTGTGAACTAACGTCGGCTACACAAATCATACGGAAAACTTTTCGAGAGCATGAAAGATGCGGGCTAAAAACAATACCGTTTTTGTCTATATTAGCGCACAACGTCATTAAAAAGAACTCTACCTTCAGAGATTTTTTTACAGTGAGGTAGGTTAAATTTTTGTCATGTAATCTACTTGGGCATTCGGAAATTAAATTTTTATTATCGTTTAAGTATACGGAAACTTGGAGAATTTGGGATTGAAAGACGAGTTGCTCGAAAAATGTTTGCGAGTTTGCCAGTTTGTGATAAATCATCTGGAATCTTTGTAGCTGTCGGCATCTCCGATTGTTATTTTGTATTTTTATTATTTGGTGTGGGAGCTACAATATCGGTTATCGCATTCATTTTTGAAAAATTATCTGGCCGATATTAATTTTACATTATTATTAAGTATCTATAGATAATGCACATTGAATTTGCATATATGTTTAATAATAAGACACCTTAATGAATTATATTCAATATTTTTAATGATTTTCTGCAATAAATAAGTACCGACTTGGTGATGTGCAGTTCTGTTTCGGCCGGCGAAGTCTCAGAAATCAGCTAGTTATAAAAATAAGCATACATATAGAAGGTGTTTCTAAAATAAATTAAGTGCCAAGATTTGGAGGGTGCCAACTGGACACAATGGTGAGTACAGCAGCGTAATTAAGGGACACAACAATTTGTAAGAAAGCCACAAAAGGTTACAGTCTGGAGCCGGTCCTGGGCGTGTATTGGCAATGTAGGTTTGTACCTATGCAACAAATTGTGATAAAAACTGAAAAGTTATATCGATAGAGAATGTAAGCAGCGCCAGTTGTCGAATGACTAATGTAAACATTAACACATTTCGTTAAAAAACAAATAATTACTGCAGGTTGACTAACATAAACATCTTACACCTTACCTAATCTAGCAAATAATAAATAATACATGATCAAAAAATTACAAATACTGATGCTATTAATTACCAGAAGTACAGTACACTATTGTCATTACTTTCTACATCAATTGGGTAGTGTAGATCATGTCAGTGACATATACATTTTACAGTAACTAAATACTTATTATAGTAAATGATGTTGTATTCCGAAAGCCCTCCTTAGCAAGCAGACCCTTAACCAGTGTGAACTGTCGCCCTTTTTATTACGTCGACAGCAATTAATAGCTGGTAGGTACCGAATGTCTACACAAAGGGCTTAAGTAACTTCCATTGATTACAAGTAACAATACGTCTAGAAGCTGAGACAGCAACTTCCTGCATACTCTGGAGAGTGAGAACAACAGGTTCCCACATCAATACAGATGTTCATTTACAAATTACAACAGTACTATGGTTATTTTTAAACGAAATCGTATTAACCACGAATACTTATTGTTTATGATAGGTAATTAATTAATAGGTCATTAGGCAATTGTTAAAGTTTACATTATACGTTGAAGGAGTCATCAGGTTGTGTGCTACCTGTTTCACCACCTTGATTTACTTTTGACTCGTATTAAATGATTCTGAATCTGAATTAGAATACATATGATTGAGCTGATTATTATTATTAGTGCTGCTAATTAAATGATACCTAATTGATCTACTGGTGAAGTGCTAACTTTGTTCTAGAGACGTAAATAACAATTTATGTAATAATTATAAGATGAATTTCAAAGAATTAAATTTAAGTTTCATTTTTCATATCTTTGTACTTACATTGTTGCATATTTCAGTTGCCTACAAGTCACTAAATAGAAAAATTACATAAAACCACACGTAGACCATGCGTACATAAATTTAATATAACAATTATTTATTGCTAGGTAGATGGCACCTGGTTTTCACTTGATATGCAGAAGGTAGCTGTAGTAATAAGATACCGCAGTTTTTGTATTAACACAGTTATATTTCTTGGTGATGTCAGCCCTTGTCTAAATTAGTTAATCTCGTTAAACTAAGCCATGTTTTATAACGCCTTTTTTATTTTTCAAAACGAACTTCATACAGTGTCAGTTCATTTTACATTGCGCATAAAAACCTTCAGTACTTAACAGATAAAACGGTCTTTTTTCGTATCTCGTTTCGTATTATCTGATCTTTTGGAAGCTAAAGACCCTGTATAGGTTACGCAAATGTAAAAATAGAATTAAAAGAAACTTGCAGATGAATCTGGTTAGGTATGAGGCAGTTTCACAGTGAATACTAGTCAAGGTTCTTGTACTGAAATATTACAGAACGAATTAAAAAAACATTTTGTAATACCTAATTAGGCGATGAAGCGCATAATTTTGTTAATTACTTTCAGTAAAATGAGGAACTAATTATTCTTTTTACTGCAACTGTGCATCGGTTTTATAAATGCAGTTGATGACTTAAGATAAGCAGTATAAACTTATTCCCATTTGCTAATGGCTTTCTTAATGTTAGAAAGTAAAAAAGTAATGATTAGGTAGCATTTGAAAGAAATTTAAACAGTTAATTAGTTAACTATGACAAACTTGCAGATTAAACTCTATTAAACGAACGATATTGCAATGTTCATGGGATTAACAAAATTAACTTCTATTTACACTCATTATTATTAAAGAACTCAAAAACACTATTAAATTATTACTAAACTTAGATTATGAATTATCCTATTTATTTACACTACTGTTGATATATCACTATTCACTGCGCTATTTATTTCACTGCTATTTCTGGATTGACTTCTGCTACGGTCAATTTATTTCTACTCTTTCTCGGCGATCGTCTCTTTAAATACTTAAATACTCTTTTGTTTACTTTCTGGAACCTTCTGAAAATATCCGGATAGTTTATTTTTTCTTTGAACTGTTTAACTGCTTTCCCAGAGCGCAGGTGCGACACCCACATTTACAAATACGACGCACATGAAGAAAGGCGTCCGCGGCTAATCGGCGAATCAATAAGCCGTTCACGCACACGTGTGCCCGATCGCACACAAACACACTCGTGTTCGCTACAATATTTTATAATTCCTAGTTCGATACCTCAAAGAACACCATATTCCTTTGTTTTAGTTGCTTCTACTCTTTGTCAATACCTTTATTTCCTTATATTGTCTCCCATAATAAGTGTTATCGTTTTGAAGATAAATTATTTTTTGTAAGGATTAAAGAGCTCTGATTTTGTTGAAGGTGAAATTGGAAATGGATTTTCAGATACACTGTCGATACTGTATATTCAGGTTACATAAAGTGATATCTGAATATTCGAAAAAATTAGTAAGAAAGAGCAACCCTGTTAGCCACGACAGAAATGTATAAAGAAATACTTTAGCGGAAAAGTATGCAACAAGTACATTGTAGTAGCACAATAAATGCGCTGAGTTAATTGTAAAGAAAATTAAAACGAGTAGATAACTAATGAATGTTAAACTACAAAAGGATCAGATTAACTGGATGACATTCTCTACAACTAGACGAGCGTATTCTCTACAGCATTCGTCTGAATCATCGTCAAAAACATTTAACCGTATAATTACTTATTAGTATATGTTCATCATGCAAGCTTAATTAAATGAAAGGTACTAAGCATACATGTGTATGTTTGTATATAACATGTTAGTATAATTTAGGTTTTGATAAGTACTTGGTAAATTATCATATTTCAACTAAGTAATTAATCAATTGCAAATTTGATTTGATATGCGAATACATCCAAGAATATTGACTAGAAATAGTTTAAAGTTTTCATATAAGTTTTAGATTACAAGTTTTTGATTTACTTTTGTTATCTGCTTGCTGAATTGATGACAAAATTTAATAAATAATATGAACTAAAGTACCTAATATTCAAATGTAGGCAACGTATTGCCATCTAGGGCGCGTATTTGATGCTACTGAAGTATTTCAAGCGTTAAGACAAAGCCTTACTAAGGTATCTCAACTTAACTTATAACAAATTAAACATGCTAATTGCTGAGTCTTGCCTAAAATTACATACAACGCAACTATGACTTATTTTGCTATTACGTATACTCTTCGTATATGTATGGAAGGGATTTAAATGTATATTGAGAATTAAGTACCCAAATATTGACTGGCTAATTCACGTATATACTACAATTGATACGTAATTGCTTAAGTAACGCACTTTTTACCTACTCTGTTGATAATTTGACCACCGATTTACTGTAGCCAATGTAGATTATGTTTAATCATTTTCTTGAAATGATCTTTAACGAACTGAGACTGAAATGATCTTAATTGCAGTAACATGTAACTAGGTAAAATATAGTTTTAGTTTCGTTTATTTATTCAAGATAAGAGAGTTGTTCAACTTGGAAAACACATTTCTGTACTTATTTTATACGTTAACTGGTGAGGAAAATGATTACAGTAGATACACACAGACACACACAGACGCACACAAACATACAGACACACACACACATACACACAAACACAAACACAATAGTGTAGTCCGTTTTGGCCTAAAATCCTTTACATTCTCCGCTAATCAGATAACTAACTAATCTGTACAACGACAATGATAGTAATTACCAGACATATCACAAAGCACAGGATCGTTTCGATATCGTTTTAGGTGTATGTATGTGTGTATGTATGTATTCCCAAACAATGTCTGTTGAGTAAGTAATTAAATGGCCTTTAGCAATAAGCGAACCGTTTAATTCCATCCAAGTTCGAATTAAGCCATGTATGAAAATTGCTTGATCCTTTTTCGACACAAAGCGAAACTGTGTGCAGTATTTCGCATGTCCGGATATGTCAGGGGTACCCTTGCCAGAAATGCGATTCATTTGAAATAGTTCTACATAAAATACTTACAAACATTAAGGTAATTTCGCTGAAAATTCATTTACGGTAAAAAGGCAACTGTTATTCCTACTAATTAGTAGTCAAAACCTTTTTATTGACTAGAATGGAACAAAATGTTACTTACTACAGGCAAAATTTATTAATAAATGTGTTTTTCGTTATCGTTCCTGTGCTCTCTTAGTCTTATATGTAATGGTCTTTTTGTTTGTCCTATATATACGGTTGTTCGGAAAGTCATTTCGTTTTTTTTTTGTGGAAATGAAAGACAGTTTTCGTATAATAAACAAATACTTTATTAAATTATATATTGACCGTTCTGGTCCAACACCTTTTGCCATCTTTCTGGTAGTAGCATAATTCCACGCTCATAAAATTTTTGGTCTTTGCTGGCAAAAAACTGATCGAGGAGGTTTTTGACCTCCTCATTTGAGGTGAAGGTTTTACCGTCTAAAAAATTTTGGAGTGACCGGAACAAATAATAATCCGATGGTGCCAGGTCTGGAGAATATGGTGGGTGTAGCATTGTATCCCATTCAAGCTGTAAAAGCTTTTGGC